TGTCGCTCGTGACATGTAAACACAGCTCTCTGTATTAAAATCAAAATAAAAAGTTTATTTCGCAAAATATCCAAAAAGTTTTCTTTAAATCGATAAAAAAGTGCGATATTATTGTGAGAGTGTTTTCTACTAAACATGCCAAGCCAAAGAGATTCTACTAAACATGTTAGCACATCAGTGCCATCTATCTCAGAAACAAATAAACTACATCAAACAGAATAACACATCGATGAAAACTCTAACTTTAACAGTATTCGCGAAACGCCGATAGATGGCGGTAATACACACAAGCAAAATAAAAAAAGATTTATTACATTATTAAGCATGAACAATTTAAAAGGTTGTCAGCTTCACTTATAAATACCAGGCAGGGCAAGTGGAATGATATCTATATTCCCACGGCATCAATCCTGTCTGGAGCTACTAGTACAGAGATATTATAGTACTGTGACTTTATTATCGACAAATTGACATTAAAGACATTGTAATTTTACGTATAGGTAATAATGATAAAAATATATATAAATTACACTCAAATATTTGTATAGCTTTAAGTAAATTAAGTAAGGTTTCTGTCTTTCTAAGTCCTGTATGTTATAATCCTTATTTTGACAAAAATGCATTAAATTTAAATCTAAAATTATGGACAAAACATTTTGACAATTGTAAAATGATCAATATGAATGATACATATTTGAATGCTTTTAATTCCTACACTGAGGACTACAAGAGCCAAGTGACCTCGAAAGATGCACGCACACATTTACACATTCATTGTGAGCGCCATCTAACGACAGTGAGGTTTAACACTAACGGATTAGCGAGGTTATAGACGAAACCCAGGTAGGATAAAGATCTAACAAAGAAATAGATGGGACAACGAAATTATTTTTAATTTTAATTTAATGTTGCTTGAAAATTTAAGGATGTGGGCGATTTTGAAATAAAACTGATTCGATGAAACTTAAAACATTTTTATTTATATAATAATAGTAATAAACTTTATTTATATAAAAGTGATTGTAGTACATGGGTAGGACATTACATCGTATGTACTATCTATAAAATATTATATTCAATCTAGTGGATGTTCTCCTAGCTAGGTTAAAGGATAACCTGTGTTAAGGAGTAACAGTCTCAATCCCTGTAATAGTAGGTACATAATAAGTACATACTTACAGTTGTAAGTGCTACAATGATAACAAAATCTAGTTTTCAAATTATTAAATATAAAATTGAGAAATATATGTATATGTATGTGTATCTGTGTGTGAGTGTGTGTTTGTGTGCTTCTGTATTTGTGTGTGTTTTCCCGCCAAATTTGACGACGGAACAAACACTTTACGAACACTTGCAAAGAACATGGTATCTCATACTGCAGCAAGACATTGAAAATTTAATTTTAAGTATAAACAATCGATATCGATGTGTAATTAAATAAGAGGTGGCAACACTGATTATTAATTATTAGATTTTATAAGAGTTTTTCAATTTTAATTACAAATACTAGTTTTATAAGAAGATATGAAGTTTTTTTATCATACAAATTTTATACGGTGATTAAAAAAAATTACATTTTTATTTAAAACAAAAAAATACGAAATGTTTTTTATTTTATATTAGAGAACTTAAAATAACATATAACTTTTCCATTTACTATATCTGAAAATTCTTCATAGATTTTTAGATATTCGATGAAATATAAAATATCCCTAGATTCTGTTGATGTGTTTATATACGTATATATACAATTATTAAATAAATGTGTTATAAAATAATTTTCATTTATTTTTGTTCCTAAAATCTACTAAAATCTAAGTAACGTGTAGACGTTGATATTTGTTGTGAATAATTTTCGTCATAATTTTGGATTGGCATAATTTTGTCGTTATCTTTATCTTTGCTTTCGCTTTTTTCTTTCTTTTCGATTTTACCCCTGTTTTCGATTTTGTCTTTGTTTTCACTTTTGTCGTTCTTTTTACTTTTGTCTTTGTACGTATTTTAATTTTTTATGTATGGTTCACGAATTGTCATATTTCTTGACATTCGGGGATCAAATATCTCAGGTAATATGCAGTCGAAATAGAATTTTGATAGTTTTTCTTTCATTTCTTTTTCCCAAAAATTATAATCTCGTTTAATTATTTCCGTCTTTAGCTTTTCTTTTTCATTCTCCCATACGGCAAATAGGCAATATTTTCTTTGAGTCACGTGTAGCTGCCCTTGAGCTTGGTAATACCAAGCATGTTTTTTGTTAATGACAAATTTACCTGTTTTTCTTTTTTGCCAGAAGTTAACTTTTTTTTTGAATTGCTGCTGCAAGGCCCATTTTATTGGCTGTCAAAGAACACTTTACTTCAACCACAGTATGTTCTCCAGTTAATCCATCAGGCGTTGCACCCAAGAAACATAATTCTTGGTCTATAAATAAACCACAGGGTCTAATGGTTATATGTTCTTGTACAGCCAATTGTGCAAGGGCGGTTTTTTCATTTTGTTGGCCATGGCTTATGGATTCTACGTGATCAATTTTTTTTCGGTTAAGTATATCTTTTACTAAATTAGCACATGGTGTATTAGTACGCCTTTTTATAACCCTGGCGAAATTAGATACAGTCAATAAAGATCTTCTCATCTCAAGCCATTCTCCATTAGCACTTTGTAAAATAGTTTTTCTTTCAATTATTGCTCGCTCCTCATCCGTCTTTTTTAAAGATTTCATGAAATCGTTTTTCATTTTATCCAGTACTTCTACCGGCATATCAGGTTTTTCACATGACTGGCCATAATCCTTATCACTGCATTTTTGGCTGAAAACTAGTCGTCTTTCCTTTTTTGTATACCTTTTACTAAGTACTTTTTGTTTACGTTTTCTTTCTTCCCACATCTTCAGCTTACCTCTTGGGCTTTTGTTGGTCATTTTCTTATATAGTTTTGACAGTGAATTTTCTTCATTGAACGACACTGCTGAAGCAATGCATCGTGTCTCATACGAATTTTTGAGGGAAAAAGTTAACTCTCTTCCCTGCTACATATTTCGCAATGATGCTGTGATAGCGTTCCACCACGTTGCTGTCCACGTCATGAAGTAAACTTCGAGCATGGCTGGCAATACCTTGAATCATAATACAGATTCTCTGCCACAGAGAACTTAGCTTAAAATCACTTGGAATATCATTTTGCTACACATTTCCTGTTTTATCACAGAAAAGTGTTTGTTGTGTTTTGTGATGTGCTTGCAAAATGTCATCAAATAAATATTGCTCTTCTGGGCAGGGATCATTTTTGTTCTTTTTAATTGCTTTTTTTATGCAGGATCTCATAGTCATGATTCTTGATGTTGTTAACAGTTTTCTGTGACTTTTTAAATATTTAGTTTCGGTTTGAAGTGATTGCATCTTATTACAAAAATTCCTCAGTAAATGATTTCTGCACTCAACCTTCTTAACTGTAATATCTTGATATGGTCTTACTTGCAAAATTTTGGAATAAGTGCTTGAGTCACCGTCAGATATGAGTCTTCCGTATATCAGACCGTGGGTAGCCAAAGATTGTTTAAAACCTTCCACAATAATTTCACTCTCCATTCCTGCGGACGGACCGGTATAGTTTTTAGAGCAGAAATGCTCAGGAATTGTTTTTTTATTCTTCGTAGCACGATCACAATGGTAGCAGTATTTGTTTCGCACTCCCAAATACAAAATTTTGCCTGTTTTTCTGCCTATAATTGCGGCAGCACCGGATAAAGCCGAATAATTTTTTTTGTATGACCTTTTACCATACACACCGTCTGCTATCACATCTATGATTGGCGTGCTATTTTTAGTGACTCTGCCTTCTGCTATAGCCATATTCCTCTCTTCTTCAGCTGCTTGGTCCATGGACTGTTGTGCAAGTTGCTGCCAGTTCTCAGACAACAATTTGTGGTTCTTTTGGTAAGTTTTTTTGAGACATTATTGGTAAATTGATGGCGGATGAAAATTCTTGTAACTGAGAATAACCACACCCGATTGAAATGGCGCCAGTTACAGCACATGTATTAATATTTAAAAAAATATCACCGTCGTTATCGATCACAAATTGTCGTTTACACATTTTGCATGAAAAATTAAATTTGGAAGATAAACCGTGAATCTTTTCGCCAACTAATTCGATACAAGATAGTCCGCAGTCTAATGGTCCGTGATTTGAGATCTCATTTATCTTTTCTAAAAAATGGGAAACGTTAATAATTCTCCGTCCAATTTGGATATTCTTCTTAGAAGTATAGTTTTCCATCTGAAAAATAAATGAATATGAATACTATTTTTTGATAAATAAGATAAATATTTGTTCGTATAAAACATTGAAATTTATACCTAAAAGAATTCTATGTAACGATGTATTCTTTATAAAAAAGTGAAAAACTTACTTCTATACTGTAATTTAATATATCTGTTTCTTGGTTTTTAGGTTGGACATCAAATTGCATTTCAGGAGTACTAGCCACCTAAAATTACATTATTGCATTATTATTTTCAAAATTAATTTTAAAACTAAACGTGTTTGTGGCAAGGTTATGTTACATTACAACGTGCGGCTGATGTTATGAATATTACCTGTGTACTATAGGCTTTTTCCAGTACATGCTTCGATGGATAATATTTACTTTTATCAATAACCTCACAATGATGATTTTCTTGTGGTACTGTTTCCAGTCTATGGAAAAAATTAAATATTTCAAATTATGTAGATATGTCAATTCTAAATATTCTAGCTCTATGGTTCACAAGATAGGTAATAAAAATTTGCATTTCGTTTATTTTTTGTATTTGCCTTTGAAAAATTGTTCATACATAATTATAATTCCTAATTCAATAAACCTAAACTCCTACATATGATAAGTAAAATCGCAATTTTCAAATGATTCTGTTATTTCGTCATGCCCTTTTGTTATTTATCAATAAGCCGCAGTCTTTTAACAAAAACAATAGGTATTTTAAGTTTTTTTGTTGTTATTATAAGAAAGAAAAGTTGTATTTACTTACACATTGGAAATACTAACTTCTGTGTTGATATTTTCAACTTTCTTTCTCCTGTAAAAAATCATTACATTTCAAACTATTTTTTTAGTCATTATTTAAAAAAAGTAATTAATAAGTTTATTTAAATATGTAATAAAAAAGAAATAAAAAAATAAAAAATAAGTAAATAAAAAAGAAAATTTGACATCATATTTCTGGAATCGAACCCGAGCACTCTCGAGTGCAAACTACAAATATAGGTTTATTGTTATAAAAATAAATATGTATTTTTAGTTATAATTTATAAAAGCATTTAATAAATTTATCTAAATATATAACATTAAATAAAAAATAAAAATGAAAATATGGCTTCAAATTCCTGGAATCGAACCCAGGTACTCTCGAATGCAAACTGCAAATCCGTACACTAAAAAATGCACTACTATAATACACTACGTTTCCTAAATTCATAGATTTATTGTTATAAAAATAAATATATATTGTTATAGTTATTATTTGTAAAATATTTTTAAATTTATCAAAATACATAATACTTTAAATATAAAAGTTTTAAATTAAATTTGACTTCATATTCCTGGAATCGAACCCGGGTACTCAGGTATACACTACGTTTCCAAATTATAAGTTTATTGTTATAAAAATAAACATTTAGTAAAAATAAAATGTTCTTACCTTTTAATATCGTTCATATGTTGGGCATTTGATTTATATGAACGTTTTTTAGTCTTCGTAACGGGTTTCACTTTATTTCCCATATTTACCAATTATAATTATTAACTTAATTTAAATTAATCTGAACTTAAAATATATTATATACGAAAGAAGAATATATATGAATATGAAACAATGAATTTATAAATAAAATTATACAAAAACATTAAACAATATTTACGTAAGTAATGCGGCAAAAAGAGCGACACGTCTACATAGGCATCGGGCCTCGGCCAGCAGTGTCGGTACACAGGCGAAATCGGGGCTTTTATCGGGGTAGACCTTACACACGGGCCTGCCTAGCAGTAGGACGGTTACGCGTTCGGACTTGGAGCGGAATGCATATGCGGTAGAGTTCTTCAAAATACCTCCGACTCTCTTAAAACACCACCGTGTTGGTTTGGCATTAGCCATCTCGGTTAATTTATTCGAAAATAGAAAAAGAAGCTGGGTGAAAAAATGGCTCCAAAAGAGATAAAAATTAAGCCACATAAACGTACTAAATGGCCTGTAATCCAAGGACGTGATTAATTTTCTCCGGATGGATGAAGACAGTTTTTATAACCTTCTAGAAATGATTTCGCCACTTATATAAAAACGTCAATTTCTCCTACCTATGCTATTTAGTTATTTCTTCTATTTGTTCATTTCTGCTTTGGTCAAAATCTGGTTATGTATTACACACAACAAACAAGGAAATAAAATACTTTATGTATACTACTTTTTTTTATGTAATCTTTATTTATGGAGTAAAACTATCAGAAAATAAAATAGCTTATATCTTTTTTTTAAACATAAAGAAACCTTTAATTTCGGACATACTCCCTTTTATATAACTTGTTTGTTGATGTGGAGATGGTGAAGGAGTAGAAGTTAGTTGTTGATAAGAGGATGAAGGCACGTAAGAGATCGAAGTGTGGTCTTGTGGAGTTGTAAGAGATATGAGTGCGGTCTTGTGTTGATAGCGTTGGAATAGGAGTTAGTTGTTGAGGAGAGGCTTTATCTTCTCCTTACTTACATCATACACTCTACTTTACGAACGGCAATAAAAAAATTAGTTTAGTAGGCATTCTTGACCATGTCACTTCGCAGGGTCACAGGCTAGGGTGGATATGATTTGAATTTCGATAAAATTTCAATTAATTTATTTATTTTATTCACTTTTTTTTTGTTTTTTTGTAAAATATCAGTGCCATAGGCTTCTACTCCGTTTATATGATTAAAATGTAAAAATTTTGTTTATATAAAAAAGGTCATTCAGTATCATGTTTTGTTAACTTCCTTCCGCGAGGGTTGCCGGCAGCGACTGCCGAAAGAAATCGGGCCGATGCGCCTACACACACGCAGTAAGGAGGGGGCGGTGCCCCGATCTAGGAAGCATCGGCTGATCTAGGAAGCATTTTTGCTCCTGCCAGCCGATTAAGGAGGCGATATCGGCCACGACTTAGAATGGCCCTACATACGACACGATTTAGAGGCAATCTAGGAGGCATCCCCACTACTCCACCCTAGATCGCCACCGATATCGTGTCGTATGTAGCCCGCTTTACGCACACATCCGTACGTATTATTTCAGAAATAAGAAAATGCGATTTTAAACAAAATCTATTAATTTGATTAAAAAATTAAAACACTATTACGTTAATATGTTGCTTGTAGAATAATCTGACAAAAACTCAAAATAATTGCATGTATATTATTATGGTTTTTACTCGATAAAACTAATTTTTAGAGGAATCTTTATGATTTTTTTCTATCGTATCAAATTAGTAGTATCATGTTTTCAACACAGTATCTAACTAGCATATATAATATAATATATTTTTCTAATTTAGTTTACTGCATTGGATCATATACTTTAAGTCAATATAAAACTTGCGTTTAGCTCCTGTAGTCCCCTTAAAAAACATTTGTAATAAAATTGATTTATGCATCGATTATACAGAATATAAAAAAAAGACGTGTGGCACTCGGGGACTGCCGCGGTAAAGCTATTGCATAGCATTTTGTATCAACTTATGCAATTATAATTATTTTTTATTTGTTTTATTTATGCAGTATTTCTTTTTCTTTGATATTAATTCAAGTTACACTTTTTGAGCGTGGTGACCGATAAGAAAACAAATTTTTTTCTTTTATTAAATAAATAAAAAGTTAATATTGTTTAAAATATTTTTCTTTTTTTTTCTTTTTAGCTCTTTACGCTTTTCTTCTCTATTAAACGAAACTATCTAGGTATAAATAATAGGTATAAATAATTAGGTATAAATAGTGTAATGACACACCAAAACAAAATTATTCATTTAAAAAATAACGATATTAAGAAGTGATTATTGAATTTCGCGCGATGTACATTTATATAGATATAATATCATATATAGATACTTTCTCTGCGCGGCATTCATGTGCATTATCTATACACCACAAACAAAGGTACTGAATAGTACACGTGCTTGGTTCGATGGCTTCTGTTATATACATAATGAAGAATGAATTTATTTATATATATACATATTGAGAATCTAAATTGAGAATTTAAACTATAAGCGTGTGTGTGTTTGTGTGTATAAAAGAGGATTACTTTTAATATCACTCATTTTAATATCAAAAATTTAGGTTATCTTTATAGCAGTATTATATTTTCAATTCAAAATTAATACTGCATTTGTGATAATAATAAAATGTATGTATATAGAGTACTCACTCATTTTCTTTCACTATTTTTTTGTGACTTTCTTCATTAATAATAAATGCACTTTGTTCATTCATATTCGAAACACTTTATACACAAATTTTACAAGTACAGCTATTCACTGTTGTACATACATACCTATACACCTATATACTTTCTCATAAACAGCTGCTTATGTATTCGTACGATTTCGGAGCAGCTCGTCTCGATTCGTGCGAGCTTCGTAGTACAATACTAGTTGCACGTACACAAACACCGTGTCGAAGACTGCCGAAAAGAAACGACGTTCTAGACAATGCACGGCCTTCAAGCAACACCTCCGTGCCCGTCGGAGTGGGGAGCGTGAGGTTTTTTTTCGTTACGGAATTTCTGGATTCGGTCCCCGCGCTCAAGGCCCGCGATAGAAGCTATGCAATAGCTTAAAAACAATATTTAAAGGTTGAAATTATTAAGAAATGTTTAAAAAGGTCACCTATTAAAATTAATAAATTTTTACGTGGTAGAGCCATGCTGCAGTTATATTAGTAGTATAGTTGTAGCAAGAATGGGTCGGCTCGACCGGGGAAGGACCACGCTCTCACAGAATACCAGCGTGAAATAGTAGCTTAATGCTGCTATATTTCGTATGGTGAGTGTAGAGAACCGGAGACCCTTTTTACTGTAAATGAGGCATTCCATCTCAGTCCTCACGGGTGACAACGCATCTGCATTTTGATTTGTAATGGAAGATAGATGTAGATGTCTATGGGCCGCAGCAACCACTTACCATCAGGTGGACTGTGTGTTCGTTTGTCAGCCTATTCTATAAAATAAAAAAAAAATAATGACACAGAAACAAAAGGAAATAAATGCAAAAAATTATTTAAAAAAGGCACTACCTTTATTATTTTCCAGCCCAGATGGTAAACAAAGACAAAGTCGTAATTTGTACCCATAGTACAAGCACTGTTGTCAAGCCACCCCACAAACAAAATTTGATTGGTAGTACTGTATCCACAGAAATCTAAATTAGATTTCTGTGACTGTATCGAATCTTTGGTCAAATTCTGCTCGCTCTTTCTTTTTCATGTCCTTGACAGATAAAAGTGGGCATTTTCTGTTCTAGTTTCCCTCACAATACGTGATGCACGAACTTAACCTTCATCGTCTTCATCTTTACAATGGGGTCTGGGGGAATGGCCACTTTATCGTAACTGACATTAGGATCATCCTTTTCATTTAAAATGTTTTCAATAGCTTCCTCGAGTCCTCTATAATCAATAAGAACTTCAAACGATCGCTTAGTCATTGTTCTCGTCGTAATTGAACCTTCGCATCAAAAACAAAAATATCTTATCGATTGGACCCGTTCGGGGACACCATACTAAAACACCTCCACTTATGGGCAAATCTCTCTAATAAAAACTGCGGTTGCCTACCCGCTCGCCAAGCGTGGCAACTATGGCAAATATCCCACGCACCTTGAGGACTGACGAGAAGATACTGGAGCTGGAAGAAGAGGTAGACAAGTTGGGCTGGCATATTATTGGATTATCTGAGGTCCGAAAGGAGGGGGAGGACACGGTAATCCTCGAGTCCGGCAACTTGTTCTATCACCGGGAGTGCGACCATCTGTCCCAAAGAGGTGTCGGATTTATCGTCCACAAGTCTCTCGTCAACAACGTTGTAAAGATTGAGAGTGTGTCGACGAGGGTCGCGTACTTGATACTCAGAATCACCAAACGGTATTCGCTGAAGGTCATACAGGTCTACGCACCAACCTCGGCACATCCCGATGAGGAGGTGGAGGAAATGTATGAGGATATTTCTAGAGCCATGCATTCCTCCAAAACCCACTACACGGTGTTGATGGGAGACTTCAACGCAAAACTAGGCACAAGAAAAGGCGGTGAGCTGAAGTTAGGGAAATTTGGAGTAGGGCAACGGAACCGTAGGGGCCAGCAGCTGGCTGACTTTGTGGAGAAAGAGGGACTCTTTATGATGAACTCTTTCTTCCAGAAGCGGCCCCACAGGAAGTGGACCTGGTCGAGCCCCGAAGGTTCGACAAAAAATGTGATTGACTTCATTATGACGACCAGACGCCAACTGTTCAGTGACGTCTCAGTGATCGCTAGGGTGAAAACCGGCAGCGATCACCGAATGGTTAGAGGCACACTGAACCTAAACGTTAATTTGGAGAGGTCTTGTCTAATGAAGTAAACGCTTCGTCCCCCTCGTGCTTTAATCCAGAATCCCAAGACTTTTCAGCTCGAATTACGTAACCACTGAAAAGTGCCTAGAAGATTGCAATGCAGTGGACGATATGAATGACAAGCTCGTGGAAACTGTCCATGCGGTCGGAGCTAAGTTCTGCACGACCCGCCGCAGAAGAACACAAAAACTCTCCGATCACACTCTTAATCTCATGGCTGTTAGACGGGAGATGAGGCTGCAATCGTCAACAGATTTGACAGCATACAGGCAACTGAACAGACAGATCTCCAAATGCATGCGGCGAGACTTACGCAACTTTATTACTGCTCGTATTAAAGAAGCGATCGAGCGGAACCAGGGCTCTAAAGTCTTTGCCAGAGATATGTCTGCCAGAAAGGGCCAACTGTCAAAGCTGAAGACTGAGTGTGGCAGCATCGTTTCCGGGATACCTGAGATTTTGAGTGAGATTGAGAGGTTCTATGGGCAGCTGTACACATCATCGTTGGAGCCACACGCAAGTGTGAGTAACGATCCAAGAGCAAGTATTACCCGACACTATTCCGATGACATCCCGGACGTCAGTCTAAGCGAGATTAGAATGGCTCTCCAGCACCATGAAAACGGAAGGGCCCCAGGCGAGGATGGAATTACAGCGGAGCTTCTGAAAGCGGGTGGAACACCGGTACTTGAAGTCCATCAGAAGCTCTTCAATTCCGTCCTCCATGCACTACTCCGGAGGCGTGGAGCAGAAGTGCGGTGGTGTTGTTCTTTAAGAAAGGCGACAACGCTCTCTTGAAGAACTACAGAACGATTTCCCTTCTGAGCCGCGTCTACGTGCTGTTTTCGAGAGTCATTACAAATCGTCTCGCACGCAGACTCGACGACTTCCAGCCTCCCGGACAAGCCGGTTTCCGAAAAGGCTTCAGTGCCATAGACCACATACATACCCTGTGGCAGATTGTACAGAATACCGAAGAGTACAATCTGCCACTTTGCCTGGCGTATGTGGACTATGAGAAAGCCTTTGATTCCGTCGAAATTTGGGCGTTGCTACAGTTCCTTCAGCGGTGCTAAGCTGACTGTCGGTATATCGAAGTGCTGAAGTGTTTGTACAGTAGGGCTACGATGGCTATCCGAGTACAGAACCAGAGTTCGAAACCTATCCAACTACTGAGAGGTGTAAGACAGGGTGACGTTATATCCCCCAAAATCTTCACCGCTGCGTTGGAAGACGTTTTCAAGCTACTGGACTGGAAAGGATACGGTATTAACATCAATGGTGAGTACATCACTAACCTTCGATTTGCCGACGATATAGTCCTTATGGCAGAATCGCTGGAGGACCTTAGCACTATGCTCAATGACCTCAATGGTGTCTCCCAACGGATAGGTCTTAAGATGAACATGGACAAAACACAGATCATGTTCAATGTCCATGTCACACCTATGCCGGAAGTTGTTGGGAGCACTATGCTCGAAGTTGTTGACGAGTACGTTTACCTGGGACAAATAGTACGACTAGGTAAGTCCAACTTCGACCGAGAGGTCAATCGACGGATTCAACTCGGCTGGGCAGCGTTCGGGAAATTACGAAACATCTTCTCGTCAGGTATACCTCAATCTCTGAAAACTAAAGTGTACAACCAGTGCGTGTTGCCAGTGATGACTTACGGATCAGAGACGTGGTCCTTCACTGCTGGCCGTATGAGGACACTCAAGGTCGCTCAGCGAGCTATGGAGAGGGCTATGCTCGGAGTTTCTCTGCGTGATAGACTCAGAATATCCGCAGAGAGAGTATCCGTGAGGATATCCGCAGTAAAACCAGAGTGACCGACATAGCCCAACGGATTAGTAAGCTGAAGTGGCAATGGGCCGGCCATATAGCTCGAAGAACCGATAACCGATGGGGAAGAAAGGTTCTCGAGTGGCAGCCTCGTACCGGTAGGCGTAGTGTAGGGTGACTCCCCACTAGATGGAGTGACGACCTGTTAAGACATGCAGGAAGTCGATGGATGCAGGTGGTTCAGGACCGTGCTTTGTGGCGTTACTTGGGGGAGGCCTATGTTCAGCAGTGGACTTGTGAAGGGCTGTAATGATGATGATGATGATGATGGGCAAATCTCAGAAAATACCCGATATAATAGCATTATTTACTATGTAATGTCGTACGGTTGTTAAATAAAAGGAAGACGTGTTTCTCTACTCAAGACTTTAATTATACTGTTATTATTCTACACTTAACACAATGAGGATATGACCTTAATGTACCATTATTGAGGGTAACAAATTTAAGACTTCTCTGGTCCCCAACAGTACTAATATGAGTAAATCACTTGTACTGAAGGTATTGTTCCATAGTACCCGTAACTCCTTATTTTATCATCCTATCACGGAAGCATACCCTGCTTGAGGACTATATGCTTTACCAGTGATGGACGTTCCCGTATCTCTCCACCATTTATTTCTCAAGGTCATCTTTTTTTATTATCTTCATAAATCTTTGTCTGTATCGGTAACTTTTCTATTATTTCAATCTCAATCTATCGCCTTTCAATTAAGCATATCGGTTTATTAACATAACCAGAGTTTGGGCCTCAAACATTGTCTAAGATAATGTCCGATAGCCTAATTCCTTCATTCCAATAACTAGCAAAATTATTGCATAGTTCCTAATAATTTATCTAAACATCACTTACATCATCCTACATATACATTTGAAATCCATACTATTATATAAGTATTCCTTTCTTTGTCGCAGTCTATCTTCAATTTTCACACATCCATATCAAAACCTTAACATTCTCATACAGTTTCCTTTCTATAAATTAACTTAACTCTTTTTTTCCTATCCTTTCTTTATTTTTTTATTTTATTGATAGAACCACCAACGGAATAACATGTTTTAAAAAAAATGTGACAATAGGCTTAGGAACTAAGATTTACATGTTTCCATTTAAAGGTAGTTACAGCATGTTTAAAAAAGACGATAACTGTACTATAATTTAATAATTGTTACAAGTACGAGTAATATACTAGTATAAAACAAACAAAAAAACAATTAGACAATACGAAATATATGAAAAAAGACGTGTGGCACTCGGGGACTGCCGCGGTATAGCTATTGCATAGCATTTTTTATCAACTTATGCAATTATAATTAATTATTTATTTTATTTATGCAGTTAAGTCTTTGATATTAAATCAAGTTACACTTTTTGAGCGTGGTGACCGATAAGAAAACAATTTTTTTCTCTTATTGTATAAATGAGAAGTTAATATTGTTTACCACTTGCGTTTGCCGCGCTTTGTCTCGTCACAGAGTGGCGAAATCACAGTAATATAGGTATTTTATAAACAGCACCTGTCTAATATTATGAAATATGTAGATAAAACTTAAAACTTACCTTGATAAATGTATACTCTTTTGTTTGTAATATTTTTTTAGACCTCTCTTCAATCGTTTCTGCTTATTCCCCATGTTTTACAAACTAAACTTAAACATTAATAAAACTGTACAATTAATATAACTATAAAACACTACTATTAAACAAGAATCAGAAAAAACCTACTCCACTATTAACAAAATTAAATTTTTGCAGTAATATTTTACGATTTTATTTCGTAGTGCTGAGCTCTCGCAACGCGGCGTACGTCCACCTAGCAACACGATGCGCCCCGCATTGAATTCGTGGACGAATGCGGGGGTGATATAGACGCAGTATTTAATCGGAACGCATTTTTAATTTATTATCATAAAAATAATACATATTTCTAAAAAGTAACCAAACCAAATTATTTTATTTTGTATTGCAAAGCAGTGGATATTTTTTTTATATTCCTTTGATAAACAATGAAGGAGTAAAGTGGTTTCATCTCAACGATTTGGAGGTGATTTGGGTATTTTTTTATTTATTATGTGACACCGATAGAAAAATTATGGCTAAACCAAATTACGTATCAGATCATGTAGATTACTAGCTATTTTTTTCATATGTAATTTCTCTGTAAGTGTCGACGAAAAGTTGGTTCATCTGCACGCTTTTTTCAAGCTTTTTGCGAGAGAGCAGCCTTAATAATAAATGCACTTTGTTCATT